TGACGAAGCATTTAGCACCATGTTGGTGTCTGGGACTGAAGGAGCTGGAGAGAGAGGTGGCTGCAAAACTGCATAACCTGTGTCCTAACCATTGCGTGGGCCTGTGCTGTGAAGGCCATAGGTGTGTGTGTGGGGGGGTGCAAAACAGCTTTCTTCCACCCTTCTAGGTTCTTTGGTCGGTCACGAATTAAACTGGGATAAAACACATTAACAGAAAACCCAATTTAATTACATATGTGTGCATGGGAGTCTCATATAAATACACGTGAGGAAAGGGCAGATGGTTAAATCTCACGTGGCACCCTGAGCTACAGAGGGACTGGACCAGCTAGTACGTGGTGGTCAAGGTGGCTGGACCCCATGCAGTCAACTCTGTGATTCAAGTCCCAGACTGCAGCTTGGAAAGCACACAGGGCACAAAATCCCAAGAGGAGAATGGAGAAGGGACTCTAATCCCCTCTAGAGAATGAGTGCTTTCTTACTTTTCCTGTCCTCCTCTGTCTCCCTCTGGCGAGTGCATGCACCCCATAACAACTGTAAAAAGAGAAAGAAAGAGGAATAAAGGCTTGGGGCATTTAGGTGTGTGTGTATGAGAGAAGTTACAAGAGAGTGAAATTGTGAATAAAGATCTTACTGTTGGTAACCCCTCTTCCTAATACAGATATTTGCTCATGTTTTTTAATTAATTTATTTATTTGGAGAGGTTTTTGCTATAGGGCGCGTGCACTTGCCAGAGAGACAGAAAGAGAGAAATCACCCCTCAGGGGGGATGGCCACGCCGCAATCCCTTCTCCTCCATTCTCTCGGGATCTTGGGCTCACACGGCATGAGTTTAAGCCACGGGGTCCGGGACGCAAACCGCAGTCAGCTACATGGGAGTCCAGCGACACAGCCATTACGCTAACTGCTGGTCCCCAGATATTTGCTCATGTACATTTCTTTTAGAGATGTAATTTTTTTTTTACAAAAGGACAGCTTTTCAGAGCCACTCCTGCAGCTTCTCAAACTCAAGATAAATGGCTCAGAATGTGCTGAACAGGTATATTTTGGGGTTGCGTATTCTGATCCACTTACAGTCCTACTGTTAAGTGGTGTGTCCTGATCCCCATTCGACAGGTTTCCGGTCAGCAAACTTTCCTGACGCTTTCAGTCCGCAGCTATCAGGAGAGACAGCCCGAGCAAGGGAGTAGGTTTGGGTGGAACCTTTAGCTGGGGAGAAATTTACATGAGGGCAATGGAGGCTTGGTAAACACACAGTGTTCTGAGCGATGTGGGGTTAACACCAACCTTTTCTGTGATTAGAGATTTGTCTAAAATAGTTGCTAAGAGAGGATCAGGTGAGGGCCAGAGCCGTGGGAATTGGGAGGGAAGGGAGCTCTTGTTTGTGGCGTTAGTCACAGCAACCTTCTGAAAAAGCTGATTGTCAGATTGTCATCTTTTTATAAACGAGCAAGCTTCAGCTTAGATCAGTTAAGTAAGCTGCCATAGTCCCACAGGGAGTAGGTGAGAGAGTCAGAATTTGAACACGCGGGGATCAGTGAGAAAGCTGTAACTCAGAGACGTTAAGAAACATACTCAAGATCACGTGGCTGTTAAATAGGAAAGCCTGGCCTTACTGCAGGGCTGGCCCCCAAGGCCTGTACTATACTGTCAGGGTCTGGAAGAGAAAGGGAAGGGTGAACTCCAGTACCGTGTCCTTTCCTGGGTGCCAGGTTACTTGGGGCTGGCTTTGGCCCTTGAGAGGGCTTAGATTGTTCAGGGCTTTTTTGAGCAACTTAATGGGCCTGTAGGCCAAGAGCACCCCAAGCGTAAGCAGTGCTTTCTGCGGCCCCACAGGAAAAGGCTGGTCCTTCCCTTGACTTGGGAATCAGGCAGGGCCCCATGTCTCCACGGGTCTTCACCAGTTAGGGGCCAATGGTGCTGGGTGTCCCTGAGGGGCTACAGTTGTGGGTCACATACAGGGCATCCAGTGGAATTTAGATTTCAGATCAAAACAGATAGGTTTGGGGAACCAGCAGTTTGCGTAATGGCTATGTCGCTGGACTCCCACGTAGTCAACCGCAGTTCACGTCCCGGACCCGGTAGCTTAAAACTCATGCCGGGCGCGTGTGCGTGCATGCCCAAGATCCCGAGAGGAGAATGGAGGAGAAGGGATTGCGGCATGACCATCTCCCCTGGGGAGTGATTTCTCGCTTTCTGTCTGTCTCTCTCTGTCTGTCTGGCGAGCGCAAGTGCCCTGTAGCGAAAACCTCTCCAAAAAAAAAGAAAAACAGGTTTTTAGTGTATGTCTCAAGCAGTATTTGGGACATATTAACGAAGTAGTCATGATCTGAAATTCACAGTGAAATTGGCATTCTGTATTTTTGTTGTCTAATCTGGCCAGCCTGCTGAGGACAGCTGTGGACTCCTTGCTCACAGGCACTTAAGCAGAGTCCCCAGGAGCTGGGGAACTCACCCTGTGCTCCCTCCTCACCACCCCTTTTCAGACAGTCCAGGCATGGCTGAGTGCCTCCTTGTGCCCAGCACAGCCAGAGTGGGCAGTGTGCCAGGAGAGGAAAAACGCAGCTGTCTCAAGCCCTTTGCACAAAGGGCAGTCCCTAACTGAGTCCTGACCATGCCTCTCTTGAAGCAAATCCTGAGCTGGAGAAGTGACATTGTGACAAGCTTAGGAAGGACTGTCTTTGGGTTCACAAAGTCTTGTGAGAAGAGGTCCTTGGGATCCAGAGGTCCAGGAAGTGGTGTGGTATCAGGGTTAAGAACTCAGGAGGCAGGGCCAGCAGACTGCATAGCAGTTATGTTGCTGGACTGCCACATGACTGACGGTGGTTCAAGTCCTGGACCTGGTGGCTTGAAACTCATGCTTGGGTACGTGTGCGTGCGTGCCCAAGATCCCAGGAGGAAAATGGATTATGGTGTGGCTTTCCTTCTCGCTGTCTCTGTCTGTCCATCTCCCTACCCCTACCGCACATGCCCTAGTGCAAAAACCTCTTTAAATAAAGAAGCTATTCAGGAGGCTGCCTTCCTAACAGTGAGAGCGAGGACTGCCGTGTGGAGGACTGAGTCCTGGCAGGCACTGTGTGGAGTGCGTACACCTCTCTCCACCTCCCCATGCCACTAGAGCCGTACGACAGCACTGGGGAACAGGTAGGATAATTCCTACTTTACAGAGGAGCAAATAGCAGTTTTAGTGGGTCAGGTGACTTGCCTCGTGTCATAGCTTCTTGTCACGGAGCCAGGATCAGACCCACGTGTTTGACCGCAAGACACACACAGTGAAGCCTCCCCTCTGTGGCCTCCATGTCTGGTGTCCCTTAGCCTCTGCTACCCTGGCGGATCTCACCTGCTCATGTCATCAGCCACCCAGTGTTTGCTCAGGATTGGTCGGAATAGATCCAGTATGTTCTACATGTTGATCTGAGGTTGGCTTGCCTATGTGGGAAGTCCTGGCCCTACCTCCCAGGGGACAAACGAAAGTTTCAGTCTTGGTCTGCATGGCTCCTTGGTTTCCCATTAGCCTTCCCTTCATTTCTGTTCACCCTTCCCTGTCTCTTCCAGATCCTTATAGTATAGCACAGGCCTTGGGGACCAGGCATTTAAGGCCAGGCTTGACTATTTAATAGCTGTGTGATCATGAGTATAGTTCTTTTATTTTTTTAAAGGAATCATTTAATTTTATTTATTATTATTTAATTTGCTGTAGGACATGTGTGCTTACCAGAGAGAGACACAGAAAGAGAAAGAGACAGACAGGAAAAGTGAGAAAGCAAGCCACCAGACCAGGACTTGCCCCACGGTCAGCCTTGTGGGAGTCCAGCACCTTAACCACCACGCCACGTGCCAGCTCCCTTTAAGTATGTTTCCTAATGTCTCTGAGTATCAGCTTTCTCACTGGAAAAGGAGGATAAAAATTGGGACCAGCAGATGGCATAATGGTTACGTTGTTGGAATCCCACATAGTTGATCCCAGTTCAAGTCCTGGACCTGGCAGCTTAAAATTCACACCAGGTGCATGTGAGTGCGTACCCAAAATCCCAAGAGGAGAATGGGAGAGAAGGGATTGTAGCATGGCCATCCCCCTGGGTGGTGATTTCTCACTTTCTGTCTCTCTGGCAAGCACATGGGTCTTATAACA